ATTCAGATTCAAGTGGAACTAATGGTGTGATGTTCCATGCGGTACCATGGGAAAGCTAGGGAGGTCTACACACACCCTCCTGGCCTGTCTGCAGGGAAGCAAGGACAGGAAAGAAAAGTCTACATAATCTGGGATGTGCAGTCATGAATACAGACTGCAGAGCAGGTGGACTTCTGGATACCGAGTTCAGATACGGAGTCAGAATCCAAACACAAAATGCATGGTTACTGGGGCCAGAGTGGAATTATGCACAGAGGTTGACAAAAAGAAGAGACATTAATTCTATAACTCCCAGTGACTGGGTGGAGCAAGAGTCACAGGTTGCCTTGATAGTAATACCGCTCTTGGTAGGGGAATTATGGTGCCTAAATTAATACTGAGTACCTCCCAAGTCATGTTTTTCTGTTCTTTAAAAAAATTCGAGATTTAGTTCCATAAAAGTCATCCTTTTAAACTGTGCAATTTCATGATTTTCAGAATAGTCACAAAGTTGTGCAAGCAGAAAGCCACTGTCAAATTATAACTCAATTCACATTTATGGGGCAATCACCATAGACTCCCCTTTGAAGTGTGCGTTTCTATTTGTAAAAAAAATCAAAAACTGCTGATTTTAATAGACTGACATCCAGTCTGCCTTCTAGTAAACACCCTAACATTTATCTACGATACTGGTCCTCTTCCATTCACACATCCTGTGGTTTGGATGTGGTTTACAAGGGGACCTGGAAACCCAACCAATGGACAATGACAATACTTTTATCTCCCTATCCAATGAGATTAGTTCCTGACGGACCAAGATCCAGACTTATCTAAAGAAGACCATTTGTTTCATGGGTATATTTTCCAAAATTATTTTGAAATGTTGGGAAAGATCTGTTTATGTGGTAGGGCTAACACGGGAGATTCTGAAGACTAACTCTGCATCTTTTGGGGGGAGCCTACCTGTGAATGAAGGCAGCACACATTGCTATAGACCCGAGAAGTAGACACATATTTCTCCCTCTGCTGTTGACACTCACTTATCCAGCTGTGCTTTGATACTCTTTTTCCTTAAGCTGCACAAAAGATGCCCCTTTTCCTTACCACAAGATGAATTGGAAGTCCCTCATTCTCAACTGGAATATTCATGAAAAATATAATACTGTTAACTCTATTTTAAATATGGTGGTGAGACTCAGAGAAGTTGATGACTTGTAAAACGTTCTATAGACATAACACAGAACTACTTTCGTCAAATGCTCTCTGACTCTATGTCCAGTTATCTTGCCTCTGCTCTAGGCTGCTTCTCCTCAAATTTCAGGAAATTGTTGCAGACACGATCTTGACAGTAAGAATGCTCATCTTATTTTTCATTGATAAGTACCTCACCACTAAAGGGTGAACAACTAAAACTCAGAATACTCTTCAACAGAATCTTCAAACATAGTTAGGTAATCCTTTTGGTAATGAAAGGTGAGAATAAAATTCCTATAATCAAATTTAAGAGGAGAAAAGATTGGTTGTTTTTTGGATATAATAATAAGCAAATGCTAGCAGCCGTGGACAAACTACGGCCCGCGGGCCATCCGGCCTGGTTGGAATGAATAAAACTAAAAAAAAAAAAAAACGAACCCTTTTATGTAATGATGTTTACTTTGAATTTATATTAGTTCACACAAACACTCCATCCATGCTTTTGTTCCGGCCCTCCGGTCCAGTTTAAGAACCCATTGTGGCCCTCGAGTCAAAAAGTTTGCCCACCCCTGTTAGAGCAATAGTCTCATTTCAGTAACAAAGCTTCCACAGCTATATCCATGCTTTTGTTCCAGCCCTCCGGTCCAGTTTAAGAACCCATTGTGGCCCTCGAGTCAAAAAGTTTGCCCACCCCTGTTAGAGCAATAGTCTCATTTCAGTAACAAAGCTTCCACAGCTATAAGTCAACAAATCGCTAAACACTCCTCCATTTCAACATCTACCCATTTGTGTATCCCATGCTTCCCCAAACCCTACACAACATCAGCCGATTTCTTTGTTTAAAGACTGCACACTGCAAGTGGTAATCCCTTGCTTGGCAAGAAATACATTCATAGTTTTGACTTAGATATGGACTCTTATGCTCTGGAAAGGGAAAATACATTCACATCTCTCATTACCTAGAAATGGTGACAACTGATATGGTTATGAACAAAAATACAAATTAAATGCACACACCTGCAGTCAAATGAACCAACTATTGACATTAGAAATTCCTCTTAGATTACTAGAAAACTCACCATTTATCAAGGAGGCCAAGGCAACTTTTTTCATTATCTGTTGGGTTATATTGGTGAGAGGTGTGTATACAATCATAAGTGTAGTAGATAGTTTAAATGAATCTACCCGTCCCAGGTCCATGGTAGGCAGTGAAGAGAAATCAGTGACTTCATGAGTAGTAGGATATAGGTACAAAGAAAGCAGTAGGAGCAATGAGCTCAACCATTCCTACATAATGCAAGAGAAAAAAAAATAAAGAAAATGATGATTTCAAATAAGTCACCCACAATCATTTGGTCATACAGTTTGTCTCGTTCACTTTTCTCATTTCAATATAGCCCACATTCTGAACCACTTACAATAGGGACAGTACAAATTTCAGCAGTCTGGGTAATATCAATTAACTATTACTAGGAGTTTATTTATTTTGTTTATTTGTTTTTTGTTAATCCTCACCCAAGGACATTTTTCCATTGATTTTTAGGGAGAGTGGAAGAGAGAGGGAAAGACAGAGAGAAACATCCATGTGAGAGAAACACATCAATTGGTTGTCTCCTAACCAGGGCCCAGGCTTGGGAGGAGCCTGTAACCAAGGACTGTGCCTTTGACCAGAATCAAACCCAGAACCCTTTTGTCTGCAGGCGAGCACTCTACCCACTGAGCCAAACCAGCTAGAGCAGCGGTTCTCAACCTGTGGGTCGCGACCCCTTTGGGGGTTGAACGACCCTTTCACAGGGGTCGCCTAAGACCATCGGAAAACACATATATAATTACATATTGTTTTTGTGATTCATCACTATGCTTTAATTATGTTCAATTTGTAACAATGAAAATACATCCTGCATATCAGATATTTACATGACGATTCATAACAGTAGCAAAATTATAGTTATGAAGTAGCAACGAAAATAATTTTATGGTTGGGGGTCACCACAACATGAGGAACTGTATTAAAGGGTTGCAGCATTAGGAAGGTTGAGAACCACTGAGCTAGAGCTGACTAGGAGTTTAAGTGTTTTGATCCACAGCGCCAGTGGAAAGCATGCACTGATCATGAAAATATGAGAGGCAAAAGTGGCAAGCTATTATAAATTATCAGCCGATAGTACTGTGGTGACCTACGCATGCTGTGCAGGCAGATCTCGTTTTATTGCGCTCTGCTTTACTGCACTTCACAGATGGTGCATTTTTACAAGTTGAAAGCAAGACTCTCCACCAGCAGAAAGATTACCAAGAGCTTGATTGCGTTCCTCACTTTATTACGGAGGCCTGCAACTGAACCCGCATACCTCCCAAGTATGCCTGTATTTGATTCTGCTGAAAGCGCATGTTGTAAGAGACAGTTTCAAGGCATTGCACAAGTAATGGTAATGTATTGGTTACATGCCAAGATTCTAGCATTGGAAACTCAACAGTATGTTGGTGACCTGAGAAACACTATCTTGTTAGTTATCAATACTAGTCACTTAAACACTACCAATAAGAAATCACTCTATTCCCTAAATGCATGATTGTAGAAAAAATTTCACAATAGATATACAGTAAAATCCCTCCTTAGTGAAAAGTGCTACTTAGCTAAGACTATCTGATTTTCTTTTTTTTTAAATATCAAAGTTTAACCAGGATTTTTTGTTATATGGTATAGTTACAAGTTCTAATACTAATTTTCTTCTTGGCACTAATCACATTTCTAAATTACCCACTATTTTTGAAGAGAATGATTTATTTATTTATTTATTTTTTAGAAAAAGTTTCAAAAGAGAAAAGTGCCAGTTGCTATTTCTGTGGGTTGATTTGTTTACTACATCTTCAGAATACCAGTATCCTAACCCAAGGATCTATGCGTGGGAACACTGGTAAAAACTGTGACCATTGCCCAGCTGTTGTTGCTCAGTGGTTGAGCATCGGGCCATGGACTAGGAGTTCACAGGTTCGATTCCCAGTCAGCACACATGCCTGGGTTGTGGGCTTGATCCTCAGTCAGGGGCGTGAAGGAGGCAGCCAATCAATGATTCACTCTCATCATTGATGTTTCTATCTTTCTCTCCCTTTCCCTTCCTCTCTGAAATTAATAAAAAAATATACATTTTAAAAAAAAGTGTGACCATTGACTTTTAAAAATTGATTGGGTTCTCTGCTGCTGACCTTCAGTGCCTTCAGACCTCAAATGATGAGTCTGTTATCAAAATATCTTGAGAAAGATTTCTTCTATTATATAAAGGTGTTGTTTTGTTTTGTTTTATGGAGGGGAAATAAACAGAGTTACCTCCCAAGGAATGGACATTTTTCAATCATAAAGAAAGAAGAGAAACAGATATTGAATCATACCATTAAGGACTCCCTTTTCATTCTCCATTTTTTAAGCAAATTCTTGCATAATAAGGCAGCAGTTTGTTGACACACACTTCTCTCTCTCTTATTCATGTTGCCCTGTTTCATAAGAAAAGAAAAGGAGAGAAGGTAAAGCATATATGATAGTCTTAATGGGAAAAAAAATCCTGCAAACACACAAACGAGCAGCCTGAGAACTCCAATGTTCTGAATCTGAGTGACTAGTACCTGAGTGTTCCAAAGTTAGCATTTTATTACTGGACCTGCTCCCCTCTGCCCCCATCTTTCTCACGAATAAGTTCTTGTTTTGGAGGATTTTTCTTTCATTGTGTTTTATACTCATATTAAAACTGGTTTTCCTTTGCTTCTAGTTTTGCCCACATTCTTACCTTCTGTTATATTTTATCAAGTTTTCTTTCTCCCTTCCATGTTTTACCTCTTATTCTAAAGATATAATTAAAAAAACTACTCTTTAAAAAAATCTTTCGAAACTTAAAAGAATTATTTATTTAATTTCGTTGTTGTTTATTTAGGATGGTTATTTTGTATTTTAGTTGTAATTCCAGTTTGGTCCTGGGAGCATGTCAGTGTAGTATCCACTTACTCTGCCACCATTTTGGAATCTGTCTGTTGTTGTTCATCCTCCCCAAGGATAAGTTTTTCCATTAATTTTTAGAGAGAGTGGAAGGGAGAGGGAGAGACAGAGAAAGGGAAACATTGATATGAGAGAGACACATGGATTGGTTGCCTCCCACACTTGCCTTGACTGGGGCTGGGGATTCGGGGAATTCAGTCTGCAACTGAGGCACGTGTCCTTGACCAGAATTGAACCCGTGACCCTTCAGTCTGTGGGCTGACACTCTAACCACTGAGCAAAACCACCAGGGCATAATGGTTACTCTTAAATTTTGGCCTTTCCAAGGGAATGATCTTTTCTTTTTCATGAAAACCTATCCCTTCATAAAAGAAAGACTTTCTAGGTACTTAACCTCTGCTGAAATCTAACCTGAAACATTCTGGTTATTATAAAATTTGGCTCAATCTCTAATTTAAAGTATATATAAGTTAGATTTATTTTTCCTGGGTACTTATTAGATTTGCTGATAGACTGTATAGGTTCCTATGGGGAGGCTGTCATGCATTTGAGCTTGGGCTCCAGATGGAGGTAGAAATTCGACCCGACTGCGCTCAGACAGGCGTTAGCTGGGTGCAAAACCCAGAACCCTCTGACTTGTGTGAAGGCCAGCTTATTGTGAAAACATTCCAGGGACTCTGCCCAAAATTGTCTGCAGAGAGCAGCGTTATGCTTCTGTAGATATTGCACCAGGAATACACAGTAGACCACAGCCCTCCTCCAAGTAAAAGTAGCAAGTCACAGATTTAGCATATGCAACCTTGAGCATAGGAGAGAGAGGAGAGAGTGAGTAGGAGTTGTGGTGGTGAGGATTATTAGGTAGGGGAATTTATATAGTTTTTGTTGTGTTTTTTTCAGCAAGGATCTGGAATACCTCCCAGAAGGAGGTGCCTCAATGCCTAACAACAGTGCCACATCTTCCCATTGCCTCATAACCAATATCACACAACACGACCTGCTGAGCCTGCCCTAAACACCGTGGGACGGGAATGCTCGCAAAGCTCACTACAGGAGAAAACTGTGCATCTGAGCTGATCTCTAGGAAGTAAGGGGATTCTGGGATGATCCCTAGTTTTCTGGGAAGCATGCCCAGTGACTCAGAAGACTAGGTCAGGACTTTTGAGCACAGAGCAGCATCTCCACCCTGAATTTGGCTTTTCAGTATCGAACCTGGAGCAAGCCGTCTGCTCCCTCTATGTGTACACAACATTGGCCAGGGATAGAAAGCAGGCCGTTGTCATGGACTCCTCCACCGTGATAACGAGTGGGTGAGTGTGCCCCTGCCTGGAGCTCTCATTCCATTCGTGGAAGAAGATGCCGACAGGGCTGTGCTATTTCCTGGAGACAAAACTGGAGAAATGGGTCTGGAAGCTGGTTCCAACATCAGGCTTATTAACCAAGACAGGCTCAGAGGGCATTGCCAGAGGAAGAACATACACGTGGATGCTTCATGAGGCTGAGAGGCAAGACTAGGGAGGAGAGGACTGAGTGAAGACGCTGGAGAGCCCATGGAGAGGCAGGCGGAGGGAGGAAGAGATTCTTGGAAAAAAGCATTAGGTGAGGGTGTCCAGTGAGAGGGGCTCAGGATCCCCATAGATGGTTCTAGTGCAGAGAATTCAGAGTAACCACTTAAAAAAATCCTCATCCCCCTCTGATGTGAGAGAGACACATCAACTGGTTGCCTCCCATACTCTCCCCGACCCCAACCCACCCCCCGACTGGGGCTGAGGATTGAATTTGCAACCCAGGTATGAGCCCTTGACTAGGAATTGAACCTGTGACCCTTTGGTCTGCAGGTCGATGCTCTAATCACTGAGCAAAACCACCCAGGGCCAGAATAACCACTTTTAAAGCAACTGTGCAGGGCTGTGCAGGTGGGTAAACTGGCCCAGAGGGTGATCTCCTCTCAGTGGAATCAGCCACAGCCCAATGTAGCATGAAAATGTCAGCGTGGCTCCAACCCCTTAGCCTTTCTATTGTAAGTTAGCATCGCTACTGTATTTTTCCTGAACTTACGTATGTTCTGTAGTTTATCCAAAGACTAACAACCTTTTTATACAAGCAGTAGGCAGTTTCAAAGGGTACTTACTCTGATCCTCCCCCTGTCCTATGGTTGTTGCATTCAGAACAAAATGTTTACACTGCAGGCGTGTGAAAGCTCTGTGTCCTGCAAAGCAAACAAGTGTTGGGATGAGGAAAAGCTGCACATTTCACATTTGGACCCAATACGTGGTGTGCACAGAGCAGAAAACCCTGGAAGGCAGCTTTCATTTCTAAAATTCTTAGAGCCCAAGCGTGAGAGGCAGGAACAATAGACATACAAGGGTGCGAAAGGCAGGTTCACAGTCTATCGTATGGAAAATGAGACAATAATTAGCAAATAATTATAACACAAGAACAAATGGTGTGCTTTGTGTTCTTACAACTGTCAACCTGCGTTTGCCCACCCCTGTGTTTCTGTAAATGTTTTTCATAAACAGACTCGAAGACAGAAAAACAGTTTATCGCAATACCCCCAGGTTATTGTACAATAAAAGTAAAGACCCTCAAAGGCAATTCAGCTTTACAAATGAATTCTCAATATTCTTAGTTCTCCACAATCTCTGAACCGATTTCAGCTTATTCCTACATTCAGTTTCTGGCTTAAAACCACATAACAGTTGCAAAACTTTTAAAAAAACGTATGTTATAACTCAATGCTTTCATCTTTACAATTTTAAATACCAGATGTCCAAACACATCCAAATAGTCCATTCATTTTCAAAATAGTTTCTCTACAGATAGTTGGCTTTCAATTCCTAAAGACTTATTCATAATTTTGTGATAGAAAAAAACACACACACTCTCAAACAAAACAGAAAAAGACAATGAACTTACCTTTGAAACGTGAAGCACATAATCTAGAAACACATTTTACCCAGTGGTCTCCTTTTATAGAAGGAAGCAAGTCACATTCTTCCCTGAACTTGGCCGCATCTATAGGTTTTGCTTTAACTGTTTGGCTTCAGTGGAAAGTTCCTGGGGAGACTATTTTCAGAAGAAGTTATGATCTCAGTTCTGTTGGCCTGACAAAAATCACACTCACGTGACTGCCCTTGAACTATTTCTCTCTCTCTCTCTCCCTCTCTCTCTCTCCCTCTCCCTCTCTCTCTTTTTGTAAAATTGAATAATTATATGTTATCTTCACACTCACGTGACTGCCCTTGAACTATTTCTCTCTCTCTCTCTCTCTTTCTCTCCCTCTCTCTCTTTTTGTAAAATTGAATAATTATATGTTATCGTCATTTTCAGTGTTTCATTTAACAGAAGCATGAGAGTTTCAGAATAAACTTATTTTTTACCAAGTAGCAGACCCAAGAAAAAGTTAAAAACTTTAAAAAAAAGTTTTAAAAGTCGATTTCCCAACTGATTATCCTACTTAAAAATCAGTACTATCTCATGAGTCAAATTCTTTTCACAAGCTCAAAAAGCAACAATTTTCTGTAACTACGTTAGAACCTGCCTCAGTCTTTGATAGCAATCTCCTTAGATAATTCTAATTGCACAATAACATGCCTTTGTTCCTCTCTCCATTAGCCACAGACTCGTAGAAGACATGGGAAACGTCTCATATTTGATCTCTAATCAGGATCTACTGAAGGCTTCTGAATAAAAACAAAAATGCAGCAAATTACTTAGCTTAATCTGCAGTCACTTTGAGATGGAGATGGCACCATGGAAACAATGAACTAAAAACCAGATAAACTATTTCAGACTTCCACAGAGATTGAAGGGAGTCATCTTTTCTGTAGTTAAGACTTTATATTTGTTCCTGGCCAGAATGGTTCAGTTGGTTGAGCATCATCTTGAGCACCAAAATGTTACTGGCTTCATTCCTGGTCAGGCACATACCTAGGTTACAGATTTGATCCCTAGTTGGGGCCTGTATGGGAGGCAATTGATTGATGTTTCTCTCTTACATTGATGTTTCTCTTTCTCTATCTCTTTTTCTCTCTCTCTCATCAATACACGTATCCTTAGGTGAGGATTAAAAAAAAAAAGGGCAGTTGGGTCTTATAGTTGAATCAGAGGACCAAAAGCCAATAGTCTCCCTTTTTTCTTTTTCAGTGTATTCAGGCACTACTCTTTGTAGTCCCCAGGTGATTGTCTAACTCCAAAGCATTTCCTTGTGTTTTATTTTTTTAGAATATATATTTTTATTGATTTCAGAGAGTAAGGGAGAAAGAGAGAGGGTTAGAAACATCAATGATGAGAATCACTGATTGGCTGCCTCCTGTATGTCCCATACTGGGGATCAAGCCCGCAACCCAGGCATGTGCCCTGTCTGGGAATGGAATCATGACCTCCTGGTTCATAGGTTGACACTCAACCACTGAGCCACACCAGCCTGGCCATTTCCTTATGTTTTAAAGGGAGCTCGTTAGGTGGTATTGCACAGCAACTGTAAGGCAAAAGACTAGCAGTTTGGGAAAGAAAATGAGAGTGCACCATATTCAATGGAAAGTTGAGCCTTCGCCTAACTTGCCAAATAGAAAATACATCGAGCTCAGTGAAGATGAACTTAATCTTGCACAGTGAGGGTTGGCTCTTGGAGTTGGTGTTTTGAGTGAGGGTATGGGTGGATGAAGCCCTTTGGTTTAGTTGCAGAGGATTTCTTCCAACCTAAGCATATTGTGGAAATAGGAAGGTCTCCACCCATGCTGCAAACTATCTGTCTATCCATTCATTTCCTCCAGAACATCTTGTCTTAAATGTGAGTCATTTGGTCACTGACTTACAGGGTAAGATCTATCTAGATGCCCAGCTGGTGTGGTTAAGTGTCGACTTATCAACCAGGACAGGGCACATGCCTGGGTTGCGGGCTCGATCCCCTGTAGGGGTCATGCAGGTGACAGCCAATCAATGATTCTCATCATTGATGTTTCTATCCCTCTCTCCCTCCCGCTTCCTCACTCTGAAATCAATATGCTCGGTATCAGCTTATACTGGCATGTATACTCAGTATCATATCATAAAGAGCAACCTAATAGAGGAAATCCAGTATGCATAAGCTTTCCTCTATTATGGCCAAGATGATTGTGGCTCACACCAAAAATTTTAATACTGTCTTCAAACCAACGCTCTATCCACTGAGCCAAACCAGTTTCGGCACCAAAAATTTTAATACTGTCTTCAAACTATGAGAAAAGAAACAGTTTCATCAGAGGGAAGCTCCTCTCTACACAAAACTCTCGACTGCCCAATTGATAATCTCACCTGGGAAATCAGAATTTTCAATCCTCTATTTCACATTTTCATTCAGTTCCAAGTATCTTCTAATCTCCCTCAAGACTTACTCTTTGAGCCATGAATTATTTAGCAATGTGTTGTTTCTTTTCCAAGTCTCTGTAGATTTTCCTGTCATCTTTGGGTTATTGATTTCTAGTTCAAATCTATTACTGTATAGTCAGAAAATTTATTTTTTATGTCAAATCGATTAGGACTTGCCTTATAACCCAAGATATCATCTGGCTGGGTGAATATTGCAAATGCAAGGAGATATATTCTGCTATTGATTGAGTGGAGTGTTAGATAAATGTCAGTTAGATCTAGTTGGTTGCTGTTAAGGTTTTCTGTTTTGTTTGTTTGTTTTTTCTGTCTACTGTTTCTATTGATTACTGGGAGAAGAGTAGTGAAGATTTTAACAAAAATTAGAGACTCTGTTTTCCCTTTCAGATCTAACAGATTTTGCCTCATGTAATTGGAAGTTGTGGTATTGGGTGCATACACGTTTAGGATGGTTGTGTCTTCTTGGCCTTTTTATCATTATGTAATGCCCATCTTTATCCCTGGTCACTTTCTATGCTCCAAAGGCTACTTTGTCTGATATGAATATGTCATTCCCACTATCTTTGACCAGCTGACCAGATGACTTCTCTATCATTTCAATATTCTTTATTCTAATGAAATTTTTTGGGGGGCACATTAACCAGAACATGCTATGATTCATGTGCATTGAGTCTTTGTTTTCTCATGCATAAATGATCCTATATAATAAAAGACTGATATGCAAATTGACCGAATGACAGAGGGACCGGTCACTATGACGTGAACTGACCACCAGGGGGCAGACGCTCAATGCAGGAGCTGCCCCCTGGTGGTCAGTGCGCTCCCACAAGGGGAGCGCTGCTCAGCCTGATGCTGGGCTCACGGCTGGCGAGCGCAGTGGTGGTGAGGGCAGCCTCTCCCACCTCTGCAGCAGCGGTCAGGATGTCCGACTATGGCTAAGCCCACTTCCCATGGGGAGTAGGCCTAAGCTGTCAGTCGGACATCCCCCAAGGGCTCCTGAACTGAAAGAGGGTGCAGGCTGGGTTGAGGGACCCCCCCCCCCAAATTTCATGCAACGGGCTTCTAGTTTACACATAATTGAGCCACTGAGTTCATAGTACTGTGCCCTTTTGCAAATATTCATAGACCTATGCACTTCAAACAGAAGTTGGCTGGTGCTTCTGATTTGGGGTAGATGTAGCAGACTATGTCAGATCAACGTTTCTACCACAACAATTGTAAGAAAGCCAGGTATATTCCCGGTCAGGGCACATGTCTAGGTCACGGGCTCGAGGTAGGCAAGAGGCAGCTAATTGATGTTTCTTTCTCGCTTCATCAAGAAAGTTTCTCTGTCTCTCCCTTTCCCTTCCTCTCTAAAATCAATAAAAACATATATATATATTTTAAAATGTATTGTAACAGGTGTCTGTCTGAGGAGAATAATTTGCAAAAAACTGCTTTGCCATCTGTTCACTCTGGCCCAATTTCCCATATGTAAATTGCCCTGTAATATATCCTGTTATAGTGTATGGAGTTGCCAACTTACCTTCAGTCTGAACTTACCTTCTCATTACGGTGGCCATTACCCCTTTGCCCCACCCTCACACATGTCTGCTTTATGGTTGAACCTTTTCCCTGCTTTGAAAATTCTCATTCAGACTGCTTTCTGGAGGGAGGTTGTGGCTGCAATTCTCTTGGCTGGAGAACACCGAATCCAAAATTAGCTTCAAACCCTGATTAGATTGCCTGAGTCAAGAAGTCAATCCAAAGGTCCAGAAAACCCGAGTGGAGAAAATGCTTTTCACTGACTAAGCTCTTTACTTTCTTCCTATTTTAAATAGTGAGGTTCCCCCTTCTCCTCTTCCTTCTTCTTTTTTTTGTAAAGGTAGTGTTTTATATTTTGAAATCAGCCCCTTTTGACTGAGGCATGAGAACATTTACAAATATCAGATTCCCTCTATAAGACACTTCTTTATGAGACGATACAGCCAGCCAACCAAGTACAGCTAGAGGTCAATAAAAAAGCAATTTGTCCAAGAGCGTCCTACACTGACCTGCTGACTCAGGTAATCTAATCAGGAGTTGGACTTTTTAAAAAGCAAATTCTGGATTCTTCTCTGCTTCCCATATCACAGCTTTGCTTTTTTTTTTTTTTAATCCCAGGAAACAGTACCAAATTCTACTTGCTCAACATAAAATATAGGAAGTCTCCTTGACCAGCATCCCCTCCCTCCCCAAACGTCCTCCTGACACGTCATTCTAGTGCAAGGGGGATGATTTGGACAATGTCGGAGACATTTTTGGTTGTCACACTCAGGGGCAGGTTGCAACTGGCATCTAGTGGGTAGAGAGCATGAATGCCACTTCAAAATTCTACAGTACACAGGCAACTTCTCTTTCTTCCTCCCACCCCCAACAAGGAATTATCCAGGGCAATGTCAATAGTGCCACTGTTGAGAAATTCACATCTAGTATAAGAATAAAGAAGCCCACTGTCATTGAAATTAATTATTCATAATCGCTGTAATGTTTTCATTCATCTGGCCCTTTGAATAAATGACTCTTACCTTCTACTTCAAGCACTGCAAGCATTCACTCAATATACATTTTGCATATCCAAATTAAGCTATCCTTTCCTGTTTTTTTGTGGGTTTTTTTTACACTATGAGAAAGGGTAGACTCATCCAAAAGCATCTTGGGTGTTTTGGCTTGGATCGTGCCCAAAGAGCGATTTTGAAGAGACATTAAAATATTTCCAAAACTTATAATGAAAGTTCCATTTCAAGAGGGCAGTTTTGAAGCAGTTTTAAAACAGACACAGACTCATAGACACAGGGAACCGACTGATGGTTGCCAGAGGGGAGGAGAGGTAGAGGACTGGGTGAGAAAGGTGCAGGGAGTAAGTAGTACAAACTGGTAGTTACAGAACAGTCATGGGGATGTAAAGTACAGCACAGGGAATACAGTCAGTAATAGTATAATAATGATATATTGTGCTAGGTGGGTACTGGTAATATCAGGGGGAACACTTTGTAAAGTATATGATTGCCTAACCACTATGCGGTACACCTGAAACTAATACAAAATAATATTGAATGTCAACAGTAATTGAAAAACTAAAATTTAAAAAAAATATAGCAGTTTTAACCCAAGATTTTAACTCTCTTGCTTTGAAATTGCCATGGATATAACTCAACAAGTATCAAAACAAGGACAACATTGATATGAACAGTGACAACAGGAGGTTACTATTGTCTATCTAAACACCTTGAGGGCAGTCTGGTGGAGATAAACTGAGATTGACGGGAATATCAACTGGTTATAGAGTCAGCACAGATAAGCAAGTGAGAAGGGTCGCCCTTGCAGAGTCCTGATCTAGGCAAGGGTCAGGGACAGGCAACTTGGGATAGTTCAAAGGTCCTTGGCAATTGCATCAGTGCCCTGTTCAGGTTTTAATCCCACCTCTTTCTTGTCATGATCTACTCTATTAGTCATTGTAATGTTAGCTGCCTGTTGTAACAACCCCACAGTCTCAATAATGTCAGTAGTTCAACGAGTGTCTTGCAGTAGTTCAGTTTTTGGTTTTTTTTTGGAGGTGTGTGTGTGTGTGTGTGTGTGTGTGTATGTGTGTGTGTGTGTGTTTATGTGTGTATTTCATGTCTCTGTCCTATGCAGGCCAGCTGGCTCTTCTAGGCCGCTCACCTCCACATGGTGACTCAGGGACTTGAGTACTTTCTATTGTGGTCTCTGCATCTCAGAGTCCCTTATGTCTGACCCATATATGAGAAAGAGAAACCTTACAAACGATCAAGCAGGAAAGTTAGGTAATGGCCCTAGAGTGGCATACATCGTTTCTGGCCATCTTCTGTATTCCAGGGCTAGACAGATGGTCCCAGAGTAGCTGTAAGGGAGCCTGGACAATGAAGTCTTCCCGTCTGTTCAGAAGAATGGGATGATTGGTGAGCATCGGCTGGTCTCTACCTAAACTACATAGAAAATTAAGTGGGGCCCTAACCGGTTTGGCTCAGGGGATAGAGCGTCGGCCTGCGGACTGAACAGTCCCAGGTTCGATTCCAGCCAAGGGCATGTACCTTGTTTGCGGGCACATCCCCAGTAGGAGGTGTGCAAGAGGCAGCTGAACAATGTTTCTCTGTCATCGATGTTTCTAACTCTCTATCCCTCTCTCTTCCTCTCTGTAAAAAATCAATAAAATATATTTAAAAAAAAGAAAAGAAAATTAAGTGGGGGGCTGTTTTTACCCCCAGATTCTCAGTAAAGAAGCTGTGCCAGAGGAGAAACAGTGCCCCAGCTGATTTCAATATGATTCAACAAAAGAGGCAACTGTATTTTATCTCCAAGTGATCTCGGTACCATTCAAACAACATAATCCATCTCTGTGACTCTCCTGAAAATGAACTGCAATTACCTTTCTTAATGGGCACAAAAAATCCTTCAGCATCAAGGTTTTACATTTCTGTTGTTCACAACTGGGTCATCTGAATTTACCACCATAATTGGCTATGTTTAAGCTGCAAAAATAGTGTTTAGCTTCAAATCCTTGTATCATTCTAGTTGATACCATAACAATTAGAAGCTGATTATACAGTGTCTATTGTGTTCTTCAGATTCTCTTCCTGAAAGGTAACCAAAACTTCAAGTTGAAGGAATGTTCTTTATACCTTCATTGCAACCTCAGTCAGGTGTTTAATAACTGCTTGGTGATACCTTAAAGTAGGTGGCATCAGATAGACTCCTGGGTTTGAATTCTGGGTCCTGAGACCTATGACTTTGGGAAGGTCAACTTCTCTAAATATGACTTTATTTATATACCTGCATCACACTTTAATTGCTGCATAACAAATTACCATAAACTCAGTGACTTATGCACCAATGAAAATAGCAACAACCACAATAAAAACTCATCTAAGTATGAGTGTATAAGTATATCGTGTTGATTTTAAGGTGTTTATGGAATTACCAGTTGAATAAATCACAACAGGTACAGACATGGGAAATTAAGATCTATCAAGTTCTAGTGGTTTGCATCAGGGTGGACCCTGGCATCATAAGACAACATAAAATCAGAAATATTTTTCAAATTTTTATGTAAACATATGTATTTTTTCATCAACTTGATTACTCAATGCCTTACTGCAATTATTTATCTTAACGGGTTTCAAATGTCCTTAATAGTTACAATAGTCAAAACACAGACTCTAAAATCTAAAATCCTAAAAATGCCAGGAAAGGAAAAATCAGTGAATTAAGTAAAAAAAGAGAATAAAAGTGAATTACAAAAAGCAAAGACTGTGCTGCCATGTAATCAACTGACTCCCTTTCCCCTATAATCAGCATTGTCTTACTTCGTGTTGTAATAAAAAAGATAAGAAAATATCCCATATTTAAAGTTCAGAGAAAAAAATTAAGCAATCCCTGCGTCATCCTCATAAACATAAACAATTCTATAATAAATGTATTCTTTGCATTTGCTACTGCATGAAATATGGAATTTGGCTGCTGGTCTAGAGGCTGCATGGCCTGATTTCTTTAGTCCCACTGGAAGTGATATTATTGAGAAAAAATCATGACATTCGTTTCAAAAGTACCTTGTCCGTGTCTGAGAAAAGGTATCATATGCTATAAAATGTTAACTTAAGAAGAGCCACAGGCCTAAAGGGCAATGCAGGGTATTTGGGGCTTTAGGGCTCTTCCTGCTGGAGGAGCTTCCACCTCACAGAGAGATCAACTTCCTCATCAAAGTCCTCCAGCTCCTGCTCCTTGGAGAGCTCCAGGAAGACCTGCCGTGGAGGAACAGACAGAGAGAGGGTGTCACACTGCCTCCTGGAGCTCGGAGTGCATACAAAGGGTATGCACACATTGCACCTTTATATTCCATGGGGGATACAGAAATCTCTAAGGCGGACCCACCTGCTCCAGGGTGGACTGTGACAGGCTGTACTCCTCCAGGTCGAAGCTCTGTTTAACTGCACAAGGATGGATGGATGAACATTAGGAAGTCATGTATTTTGGATCCTGAAAGTTGTACCAAAGTCACGTATAAAAAATACCAAGAGGCCAAGAGGAGGAGGCATCACTCACCCCCAGAAGCTGTGGTCAGAGGCTAAAGATGGGCGGAGAGAGGGTCTCATCAAAGAACCCACAAAAGCACCCCACAAGAGAAAGGGAGTCAGGCCCTGCTGTCATAGGACAGCACTAATGATCAAATCAAGCTTTGCTTCCATGTTATCTCTTCTCTCCTCCCCTTATACTTGACCTAGAGAGGCCTAAACCATCAGCCTATGAGTAGAGGTGAGGAGGGTAAGAAGAGAGACAAAACTGACCATCCTACCTCCCTAGCTTCAAGTCTTCAAATCTGAAGGAAGAAGGGGGCATGGGAGGCTCTAGTTTCGCTGGAATTTGCATTAGCCCAAAGCGATCTGATTGTATGCAAGAATGACTCTATGTAGCAAGGTAAAGAGATCATAATGGGGCATGCCTTTTGCTTCCAAGCTACTTGGAATTTCAATACATGCATTGCTGCTGAGAATGTAACTATGGCTAACTTAACATTTGGAGAGAAAAACACTAGCTTAGGACATTTCGGTATCTTGTAACAGGATTGGAAACTGATAAAAAGTTGTTTTTACCCCCTAAATCAGGACTTCCATTTCAGCAAACTAAGCACATCAGAAGGCATTTGAGGAGGGAGAGGACATTTTTGAAAGCAGAAACACAGGAAGGCCCTTAAGAAAAAGCTCCATTGTATTCCAGGGAGGCAGCTTTCTTGGAACATCTCTCTCCCTGCTTCTAATTAATTATAAAATCCTTCCTGTTGATCAGACCCCATTGTGGGAATCCTTCCCACCGGAATGCTGCAAAATTGGTCAAAAGGCCAAAATGGTCAGTGCGGTAAATGGACCACAGAGTGAAGGGAACGGCAGAATCAGAAGGTGAAAAGAAACCCTGTCTGGGGCCATCCTAAGCTTAACTCCAGGGGAAGGATCTTTTTAAGAACTAGGATGCCTGAGGGAGGGTTCTAATGACTGATGACAGGCAAAAAT